TGCAAAGGTTTACATTATGAGATTTTGAAAAAGAGGATCTGAAATACTGACAAATGAAACTGAACGGGCCCTTATATTGTGTGATACACTGTTTAAAATTGTACAGGAAGATTCCCTAAAGCAGGTCATTCCTAAAACATGAAGCACTATAAAAATAAGTATTTCCAAGCACTTATTTCAAATATGGTTTGGTATCTTGTCATTTCCTGGGACTAGGAGACCAGCATCAAAGCCTTTTGCCTCAGGGTTGTTGTTTTTTTAGTCATCTTCAGTGGAAGTCACATATAAAGTTCATTATTGGATAAGCATAACAAAGTTCTTATGCCTTACCCAACACAAAAGTTTCTGGAGGCAAGTTGTTCCACTGATTAATTATTAATTAATTAATTAATTGTTCTCACTGTCAGGAAATTTCTCCTTAGTTCTAGGTTGGATCTCTCTTTGATAAGTTCCCAACTGATACTCTTGTCCTTCTCTCAGGTGCTTCAGAGAATAGAACAACCCTTCTCCTCTGGCAGCCCCTCAAATATTGGAAGACTGCTATCAAGTCATTCCTAGTCCTTTTCTTTGTTAGACTAGATATACCAATTTCCTGCAACCTTTCATTGTGTGTTTTATCCTCCAGTCATTGTTATTGTTATTCTCTACACTCATTCTAGAGTCTCAAGACCTTTTTTTTTGTATCATGGTCACCAAAATTAGCATTGGCCTCCCTCCATGTAGATGTAGTTCAATTGAGGAATACAGGTTAAGTTTGGTTGGTCAGTCAGTTATGAATCTATCTGGTAATGATACTAACTACTAATTTACCTTATCACAAAGTAGGCTAGGGTCCACTAATTCAGTCATTTTGTCAAAGACTCCAATAAGTTTGGTCTGACATGATATGTTTTTGATGAATTCATGGTTTCTAGTTTAATGAAAAGAAGGACTAGGGGAGACATGATAGCAGTGTTCCAATATCTCAGGGGCTGCCACAAAGAAGAGGGAGCTATTCTCCAAAGCACCTGAGGGTAGGACAAGAAGCAATGGATGGAAACTAATCAAGGAGAGAAGCAACTTAGAACTAAAGGGAAATTTCCTGACAGTTAGAACAATTAATCAGTGGAACAACTTGCCTCCAGAAGTTGTGAATGCTCCAACACTGGAAGTTTTTAAGAAGATGTTGGATAATCATTTGTCTGAAGTGGTGTAGGGTTTCCTGCCTAGGCAGGGGGTTGGACTAGAAGACCTCCAAGGTCCCTTCCAACTCTGTTATTCTACTCTATGTAGGTGTTTGCAGATCTATTACTTGATCTTTTCCAGAATCTTGCCAGATTTCCCTCAGTGCATGACTGCACTGGTAGAATTGCAATGAAGAAATACATTGAAGAAATATTGCCTGTCATTTAGCTCCTGTCATAAATACATAACAAGACCCATGAAACAAAATTGTGAGAAAGTAATGAAGAAAGAAATGTATTTCTTTATATAAAAACCCTGCTCATAGAAAACCCATTTTCAAATACAACTCTTGGCTTCCTTATCTTTTCCTATTCCAACCTGGCACCAATAAAATAATATATGCATTGCTTTACAAAGAGAAAGTCATATCTACTTTAACAGACTGTCACAATTCTTTCTAGGAGAAAAAAAAAGGACAGTGTACTAGTATAAAACAGGACAAATGGAATACGTCCGAACCAATTATATAAAATGAAAAATGGGGAAGAGCATTAAAATGGTATTTATCCATATATTTGTTAGATTTATGTTCTACTTTTTCCTCCAGCAGCTTCATCCTGCATTCCCCCACTCCAAAATAAAAATCCATCTAATAGTAGGTTGAGCTGAAAAAGTTGATTGGCACCAAGTCACCAAGACAACTTTTATAGGTTAGGATGGATTTCTTTCTAATGCAACACACTAACCCAAAAGTCAAAAGTTATTAAAATAAATAGAGATAAGTCAGATACATTATATATTCTTAACCCTCAGCATAGACATAATTGGCTATTTTGGCTCTGTGAGTTGTGATAGATGCTATTCCTTTCATATTAAATGGAATTAATTTTGCAAAATAGAATTGCTTGCTTCTTTGTCTTGGGCATGTAATGAATTCAGTTTTATGACTTGAGAAAGGGCTAAGGGGAAATGTATAATCTTGGGTCAACTGATGCACCATAACTTTGCAGAGTTGCAAGTAACCAGGAAATGGATATGGCAAGTAATGGAATAATAGCAAACTTGTTAAATAAGGATTTCTTTATTTGCAGACATAATGTATTGCTCTTCAACCCACTAATTTCAGGCAGGATTCCAAGGAAAGTAGAAAGCCTCCTCCAATCCAATCTACCTACCTTAGTAATTTATCTACAGGATGAGAAACAAAAAGTTTAAATTATGAGGAAATAGATTTTGGTTGGAGAACAGGAATATTTTTCTAATGGTAAAAGCTATTCAATGGTGGTTATGACTGTGTCTGGAGATGAAGGGTTCCTTTCGCTAGAGGTGTTTAAATTGAAATCTCCAAGGTTCCTTCCAACCTTCCATTCTATGATTCTAACACTGTCCAGTAGAGAATTTGTAAATCCCTCTGCCACTTTTTTTCTGTGCATAAAAATGCTTTGGCTTAACTATCTGATGTTTTAAAAAAACATTTCTACAGTAGGGGGAAATTTGCCTGCAAGTATTTTCTAAATCTACGTATCATAAAACAAGAAAGGAGGAGGAGGAGGAGGAGGAGGAGGAGGGGGGGGGATAGAGATGGCGATGATGGTGATAAGGTGATGATGATGATAAAAGTCTCCTGTGCGAGCCAACCTACTTTTTTCTCTAAAGTGGGGTGATCTCCAGCTGAATGTTCTCATTCTGTTGAAAAGCAAACAAAATAAATTAAAACAAGGTGTACTTTTCCTATGCTAGTAAAAAAAATAACCTTAGACTTTAAAGCAGTTAATTTCTTATTGCTCCTAAGTGAAATTGGTTTTTTTTTCCTTAAAGACTGAAGAACTGAAGATGCAGTCAAATTAATTTGCATTGGGTCAAGATAAGACAACACCTGCACAATTTAATTTGAATAAGAATATTAATGATTCAAGACAAAGCATAGGGCAATGAAACAAGAAGGAGTCAGGGAAGAGGACCAACAGCTAAGTTGTTAAGATGCATTCTGTATTGCTGACCCTAATTCCTATATTATAATGCAGTGAAAACATATCTGTGGATCTTAGAACTAGGAAGGATGAAATGTTCCAACCATAAATTTATTCTTAGATTGGAAAACCTCAGGAAACTGACAAAAATGCTGTTAAAGAAGGCTTCATAAATATTCAGATTTTGGAATAAGATCTTACCTATGTAAATCTAACTCGGGAATGTATGCATTGATTTTAAAAGTTTCTTGCTAGTAGAATATGGTGTTATCTCCATTTGTCTATTTAAAAACAAACCCTTCTCATCCCTATGGGTGGTAAGAGCCAAAGTGGCGCAGTGGTTAGAGTGCAGCACTGCAGGCTACTTTAGCTGACTGCTAACTGCAGTTCAGCAGTTCAAATCTCACTGGCTCAAAGTTGACTCAGCCTTCCATCCTTCCGAGGTGGGTAAAATGAGGAGCCAGGTTGTTGGGGGCAATAGGCTGACTCTGTAAACCACTTAGAGAAGGCTATAAAAGCACTATGAAGCAGTATATAAGTCTAAGTGCTATTGCTATTGTTATATGCCTTCATCAATCTCATGTCCTCTGCCAGAGACCTCAGAGTTTGAGTGTTCTCTGTAATATCTTAGCTGTTCCTAGCACTGCAATATTTTGGACAGAGAGGTCTGAAGTTGGTCCTTAGATCTATTGGAGCCACTTTCCCAACTTAAGAGTCACAACCTTGAGTACACTGGGACCCTGGGCCTTTACTTTCCACAACCTTTCTAGTTCTTCTTTCAGGTCTTGTACTTCTCCAGCTTCTCACACTTCTTCTTCCTGAGAAGAAGCCACTTGGCATCACTACAGCTATCACCACCACTGTCTTCTGGTCCTTATCTACTACCACAATGTCTGTCTTGTGTGGTAACACCCTGCTTCTACCACAATGTACCTGCCTGTGCACCTGTATCTGGAAGCCCCACATAGCCTTATTATTCTCCATGAATTTCTGCAGAATCTTCCATCTGGATTTGGGAGGGACTAGTCACTGTGCAGATGTTCCTGTACACAATGCCAGCTATTTGGTTGTACCGATCATCTTATGGTCTTCCTGCTTGCATCTTACACCCTGGCACTATTTTTTGGACTGTCTCTTTCTGCACAGTCTGCACCAGATCCTGTCTGATGTGGTAAAGCCCTGCTTCTATATACTATATTAAGGTGCTTAATATTATAAGCACTTTAATATAGTAATAATATTATCCTGTCTAGTGTGATAAAGCCCTGCTTCTATATGCCTATATTAAGGTGCTTCTATATTAAGGTCCTTAATGCCTAGACTTGTGTTGCTATGAAGCCACTTCAACTGTAAGAAATAGGCAATTCAGTTTCTTATTCTTTGCAGTAATTGTTAAACAAATTATTTTACAGGGTTTTTTTGTATATAAATGTGCTTAATTCTTTCTGCAAATGCTGTGCTGAGCTTTTTGACACTAGTTTTGTGTGCTACACATCCTATTGAAGATCTGGGTTTTAATATGAAGACACAAAAAATGTTTTGTTTTAAGAGATGATTTAATGTTAAAGTACTGTGCATTTAAGATATCTTGTTAGACAAAGGGAAAAAATTAAAGCATTTCTATTTTTTTTTCCGCCTGAGATAGAGAAAGAGCTGGCATATTTACATGGTGGAAAGATCCTTCTTATCGACTTTCTATGTTAATTAAAAGCCATGTTGTTGATTCTTTATACAAAAATACAGTGAGACGCTTAATTCAAGGGAAGCTCTGCCTTTTGCAGCCGGGTTAATTGCTAGCCAATTGTAGCAATTTCATATGATCTCTGTTCACAGTTTCATGCCTCAACTTTGTTGACTTTTTTTTAGATACACCAAAATGAAGACAGCCACCAACATTTATATTTTCAACCTTGCCTTGGCTGATGCCTTAGCAACAAGTACGCTGCCCTTTCAAAGCGTGAATTATCTTCTGGGAACATGGCCGTTCGGTACCACTATTTGTAAGATTGTAATATCGATAGATTACTATAACATGTTCACAAGTATTTTCACCCTCTGCACCATGAGTGTGGATCGCTACATAGCAGTTTGCCACCCGGTCAAGGCTTTGGATTTCCGCACCCCTCGAAATGCCAAGATTGTCAATGTCTGTAACTGGATTATTTCTTCAGCTATTGGCATTCCAGTGATGGTGATGGCAACCACCAAAGAGAGCAACGGTGAGTTAGAATTTAGATAAATTTCAAATGGACACTGAATGTTTCTTTATCTGAATGTCCATAGCTGGGCCTGGGGCAGGTTTACAAAGAAACAAATTTCTGAGGTAGTTCCAAAACAAATTGGAAGAGCCGTGGTGGTTCAGTGGTTAGAATGCAGGATTGCAGGATAATTCTGCTGACTGCCTGGGATTCGATCCTCTCTGGCTCGGAGTTGACTCATCCTTCCATCCTTCCGAGGTTGATAAAATGAGGACCCAGATTGTTGGGGGCAATTTGCTGATTTTTGTAAACCTCTCTCTCTCTGTCTCTCTCTCTATCTCTCTCTGTCTCTCTGTCTCTCTCTCTCTCTCTCTCTCCCTCTCCCTCTCCCTCTCCCTCTCTCCCCCTCTCCCTCTCTCTCACTCTCTCCCTCTCTCTCTCTCTCTCCCTCCCTCCCTCCCTGTCTCTCTCTGTCTGTCTCTCTCTGTCTGTCTCTCTGTCTCTTTCTGTGTCTGTCTGTCTGTCTCTGTCTGTCTGTCTCTGTCTGTGTCTGTCTCTTTCTGTGTATGTCTGTCTGTCTCCCTCTCTCTCCCTCCCTCCCTCCCTGTCTCCCTCTCTCTCCCTCCCTCCCTCCCTCCCTGTCTCTCTCTCTCTCTCTCTCTCTCTCTCTCTCTCTCTCTCTCTCTCTCTCTCTGATTGTATACCTTGCCCTACTAGCAGTAAAGATACTTCCAGAAATCCAAGTGGTTCTTAGTTCCAAAATCTCCTGCTTTACAAGGCTTGACATTAATCTTGAAAGCCAGATCAACTTACACCTAATTAAGGCAGAGTTACTTTAAGTTGTTTTCTTGTGCTTCCCACCTTTCCTGGAATGATGGGTCTCTTTTTTAATTTTTGTGTTTTCTCCCCCATCTTCTCAGAAAGGCATGCCTAGGCATTCCTTCAAACTCTCTGTCAACGCAGGCTCAAAATTTATTTCAGAATAACCCTTCAATCTGACCAAGAAGTATAGTTTGAAAGACCAGATACTCAGCAGAAAGAAGGAAGGGAAGCAAATCAAGAGTTTCAAGAATATGCAAAAATTCTAACATTACCTAAAATAGGCATCGATTACTAGAAAAAGTCTCAGATTTGGCATTTTCGCTTAAAGAAATGTATATCCATCTCTGTCTCCTCAATAAGACAATTGAGATTAATGGAAATACTCCCTAGTGCTTAACTACGTATCAAAATGTAACGGTGGAAAGGACTACTCAAGCATTGGATGTAAATTCCATTGTGTTTAATGAGGCTTTACTTTGGACTAAGTGTATATAAGATTACCGTCTAAATGTCAGATATTTAAGAAATACTAATAGATAAACCAGGCTATTTGTGCTTCTCTCAATTATCCATTCATTAATAAAACCATGCTATCTTGCATTAATGTGCACAGAGTTTTAAAATTAATATAACAAGTGTTTTAAGTGTGGGGGGGTATCCTTGTAGATAGATATGCATTTATTTATGTGTTTATATAAATGTAGCCATATGTGACAGCCACATTTTCACATATGGAAATTTTTAAGCCCATTAGGCCATTTTAGAGCAAGAACTACAATGCAAATTTTGGAAAAAGCAACCACATTTCACTCCAGTTACGTGGCAACATTGAGTGGTTTTTTAAAAAAGCTAACCATCATTTGGCCTTGTAGTATTTGAATGGGAGACTGTTAGAAAATAACACAATTATATATTATGCTGGGAAATAAAATCACACAAAACATTGTAAAAGAATGTTTTGTACAAGAAGAGAAAGCATTTCTATATTGATATCCAGGAAGTCTCCAAGAGTCAAAATTAAAGAGGAGATTCTATTTTAACTGTTTTTCTTTTAACAATATCAGTTCAAACCGACTTTGCAAAAATCAGATTTTTCAAGCATCCTTAAAAATGCTTCTATCCAGAAGCCAGGAAGTATTGAATCAGAATAAGAAAGTGGTTAGAAGAAATTACAAGTCAAAGGATTGAATTAAAACCAGAATTATTTCTACTAGGGATAATAAGAGCAAACTACAGTAAGAAAATTCAATATATTATACTGCATGTAACAACAGCGGCCAGAATTGCCTATGTGCAAAATTCGAAACAGGACAGCATGCCCTCCAAGAGAATGGTGATCAAAAAGATGTTAGATTGTGCCAAGATGGACAGGCTAACATTGGAATTAAAAGAAAGAGGCAAACGGAATATTATTTAGTCTAGGACATGTGGTACAAATGGCTAGAGAACAGAAGTAAAGATTAATATGAAGGTAATTTAAGAGAAATACTAAAATTTAAAGATAATGTATATAGTTAAAGGAAAAACAAGGAATGTTATATGTTATGTATGTATGAGTATTATCAATGCTGGAATGCTGCAAAAATTATAAATGTGATATAAAATGATGAAATATGTTTAATAAAAACAACAATTTTAAAAAATGCTTCTAAGTCTACAGTTCTCCCTCAAATTACCTAATTACATCTCCCTATCTCCCTAATTAGGGACGCGGTGGCTCAGTGGCTAAGGCACTGAGCTTGTCGATCGAAAGGTCGGCAGTTCAGCAGTTTGAATCCCTAGTGCTGTGTAGCGGGTTGAGCTACCGTTACTTGTCCCAGCTTCTGCCAACCTAGCAGTTTGAAAGCACCTAAAAAATGCAAGTAGAAAAATAGGGACCACCTTTGGTGGGAAGGTAACAGCATTCCGTGCACCTTTGGCGTTTAGTCGTGCCGGCCACATGACCACGGAGACAACTTCGGACAGCGCTGGCTCTTCGGCTTTGAAACGGAGATGAGCACTGCCCCCTAGAGTCGGGAATGACTAGCACATATCTGCAAGGGGAACCTTTACCTTTACCTTATCTCCCTGATTGCATCAGCCTGTCTCATTAGATCGGGCAGGGAAAAAGTGTTATGGCCAGAGGTGTCAGTTCCAGAGGTGGGTCTTCTCCGCCCTCCTGAAGCTAGGCTTGCTCCTTCCTTATTATTATTTAGGAATTCCCTCAAAATCTGGGTATGTTCTAAAGTCTTTGGGAATTGGAGACAAAACTTGCTCTCTCTCTGGTTTGTAGATTTAATTTTTTTTAACTAATATTCTTATTTTAACAATTACTTTTTATCTTGATTGATTATTGTTTTTATTTGTCTGCTGTTTTATTCAAATGTTGTATGTGACCCAGAGTCACTTTGTGTGAGATGAGTGGCCATATAAAATGTGATTAATAAATAAATAATAGACGTGTTTTTAGATTACATAAAGTGTTCGTGTTATCTTTTCTCCCAATGGTGAGAGTAAAAGTCTGAACACAACAAGAATAGGTTTTCACAAAACAAAGATTGCAAGTAGGTTTCATTTTAAGTTATATAAAAGCAATTGTTTCCTATCGCTTGTGCTCGTGTGGGGATGGAGGGACAATAACAGTGAAAGAAATTGCCATGATTTGCTTGAATTCATTTGTCTTCTTTTAATTTCCGTAGGATCTGTTGATTGCACGCTTAAATTCTCACACCCAGCCTGGTATTGGGAGAACCTACTGAAAATCTGTGTTTTCATCTTTGCCTTCATCATGCCCATCTTAATCATAACGGTCTGCTATGGATTGATGATTTTACGCCTGAAGAGTGTCCGAATGCTCTCTGGCTCCAAGGAAAAGGACAGAAATCTTCGAAGGATCACCAGGATGGTCCTTGTGGTTGTGGCTGTTTTCATTGTCTGCTGGACTCCGATCCATATTTATGTCATCATCAAAGCCTTGATCCATATTCCAGAAACTACTTTCCAAACCATCTCCTGGCACTTCTGCATTGCATTAGGATACACAAATAGTTGTCTCAATCCCATCCTTTACGCCTTCCTAGATGAAAACTTCAAAAGGTGTTTCAGAGAATTCTGTATCCCAACAACGTCAACCATTGAACAGCAAAACTCCACCCGCATCCGTCAGCATACCCGTGAGCGTGGCTCCAGTGCCCATACAATGGATAGGACTAACCAGCAGGTATGACTAGAAGTGGAGATGTCAACCTTGGAAACAAGAATTCCTCCTGGAGATGACATGAATTCTGAAGTCACGGACTTGACTGAATTGTAGCTTCTGGAAGTTTTATAAAATTCTTCCGATTTATTTTCCCTGGCTGAGGTGATACACAAAGATGGAAAGACTTATCCAAATGCACTAGGAAGGTTGTGCTGGTCCTACTATGATGATGGGGAACTAGAGAAGTCCTCAAGTTGCTCCTTGCATAGCCAGAGTCAGTCTGGGTATCATTGTGTTATATATTCAATACGCTGAAAACAGAAGAGATGCTTTCATTGTCTTGGCTTACTGAATGCTTGCTACTTCAGCATTCTAGAACTTTGTATATTTAGAAACTTCTTATACCAAATCAGAGCATTGGGCCATGTGACCTGTGTGAACTAGCACCTGCCTCATAACCAGTTCTCCAATATTTAATAGTCCTGCAATTACAGGTAGTCCTCAACTTACAACAGTTCATTCAGTGACTATTCAAAGTCACCGAAAAAGTGACTTACGACCATTTTTCACAATTACAACTTTTGTAGCATCCCCATGATCATGTAATCAAAATTCAAATGTTTGGCAACTGGTTCATACTTATGACCATTGCTGTGTCCCAAAGTCATGTGATCTCCTTTTGCAACCTTTTGACAAACGAAGTCGATGGGGAAAGTCAAATTCACTTAACGACCTTGTTGCTACCTTAACAACTGCAGTCATTCACTTAACAAGTATGGCAAGAAAGGTCATAAAATGGGACAAAATTTATTTAACAACTGTCCCAGTTAGCAACAGAAATTTTGGGCTCAATTGGGAGGAGGGAGGAGGGAGTTTTAGAATTTCTCCAATGAATCTGTTTCTAAATTCAAAATACAGTAACAGTCTGTCTCAGGTCTTCATGGTGACTCTTTTCCTCTTCTCCTTGGAATGATTTCTCATCTTTGTACTCAATCAAAGGAAGCAGGAACTGAGACACATCAAATATTCACTGAGTAGAAATGAGGGAATATAACCAAGGTGGAAATGTTTTGATAATTAGGTAGGTAAGATAATCACAGTGATAGCTCAGCAAGCAATTTGAGTGGGTAGAAAAACTGAATTCGAAATAATGGAGGCATCTCTACACTTCTTTTGATGGCAGACTTGAGTATCCAGTCTTTCTTTCTGAGATTTACTCTGTGTTATCATTTGAACACCACAACAACAGTGGTTTTTCTCTAAATTTATTATTTATTTTATTTTATTAGTCATATTTCTCTGCCGCCCACTCTCCGAGGACTCTGGGCAGCTTACACCAAAGACAGTATACTAAATAGCATATTGGCCCCTAACAGTCTGGGTCCTCAGATTGTAGAAAACCTATAATAGAAAGAAAAGAAAAGCTATCAACAATCTTCTCAGTTCTGTTTTGCAAATGATGTCTGAGGGGAAAAAATTACCCTGGGCATAATAAATAGCAATATCTCCAAAGAAAAAGAACTAATACAGGTAACAAGCTTTAGAAAAAAAATATTCAGAATATTGTTCTAATTGTCTCTCCTATTCCAAAAATGGAAATTTCTAGGCTAATAAGGATCTGCTAAATTCAGCATATTTATTTCTCAAATCTGAACTTAATAATTGACAGATTTGATAATTAAAATTATGATATCATAAATTATTCTTTAAGATCAGTCAATTCCTTGGATTTACCTCCTGTTCTTTGGACCAGCCAACATAATGGAAGTTTCAATTGTATATAATTTGCTAAGCAGATGGCAGTAGCTTTTAAACCATGCCTACTGTTGTAGTCTCTATAACCATTCTTGTATATTTGTCTTTAAATTAGTCATTGTGTCATCCCACATTATATTTTCATGCAGTTGAAGAAATAAGCATAGTATGTCAAATTAAAGGCAAATATCAATACATTAGATTGTTATCTTTGATTGCTATTGTGTAGTGTTCAACACACTCACACATGCAATACCTGGATCTGCATTTCAAATCATAATGTCTTTTGAATGCAGTATGCCAATTATTGGTAATAGTATAGTTATTACTACTATGTCTATCATTAATGTTTTTAATAATATTTTCTGACATTAATCATACACAACTTAGGGTTCCCCCATAAGAAGAGATGACCAGACATAAATGTGTATACATAATATATAAATTAACATTGTTTTACTGATTACTTTTATATCCTACACTCAAACCAGGATTCAGGGCAGGAAATATATCTTACTATATGAAATGTTACTCTCACAGATAAACTAAAAGGAGTTTAAAGTGACTTGCTAAAATTCAAAGATGGCTTTTCACCCTTTTGTTTTCTTGACATTGTTTATTTCTATCACCTAACATTCTTTAAATCTACTGAAAGACTCAGGCTTAAGTTACTTAACAACACACAAAAACTGTCCCTTGTGAGTGTTTCTGCCATTAAATTTCTAACCAAGACTGTTAAGAAGGCGCTTTGTGGGTTTGACTGGTAAATGGTGCTGATCCTTTCTCTGCATCTTCTTAACAGAGAGTGGGAAGAATCAATTAAAGCTGATCTCTTTATTATACAAGAAAGATCCCCACAGAAAACAAACATCACAATATTTTGTGTTTTTACTTGAGAAAACCCTGTTAGGAAAATGGAAAGCAATGTGTGTAAAAAACTATGTGCATCTCTGAAGTAGTTGTTTGTTCATTCATGACAAAATCGAGTTTGCAGAAGGGTATCTCCAGCTCTGAGGGCTTTGAAACAGCGTACACTAGATCTCTTGTATTCTTTTAATGACCTTGCAATCCTTTGCTTTGGTGTGGGGGTCAGGGCGACTGATTGGAGCTGAGCGTTTACAGACTGGACGCCCTTCCTGATGCCTATGTGGAGTTCACAGCACACAATTACTCTTCAAAAGAAAGACATATCTGCCACTACCTAGGATCGAACTCACAGCCTCCTGATTGATTGTGAGGTGAGAATTCCACCTTTAGGCCATCACACCACTCACTAGAACTCTCTACTCTAACCTGTAGGAAAGCCTCCAGCAATAAACATTATCAGAATGTGCAAAAAATTGGATTGGGTACATGCCAGCTGTCCTTAAGAAATGACATCCATCTATTATAGAAGGATGCTATTATATTCATGCATATCTTCAGGAATAGACTGAACGAAAGTATGGCAAGGGCAGGGCCCAATTCACTTCTGAATTGATAAGGTGGGCTTGTTCTTAGACTCTTCTTTAAATATTGCCATTGTTGGAAGCTAGGGAGCGTGCCTTTTCTGTGGCAGCCCCTGCCCTTCCTCCTGAATTTTGACAAGGCTCTATCCTCCTAGCCTTCTCAAAAGCACTGGAGACCTGGCTTCCCCCCACCCCAAGAACTGTAATAGGGTGAGCATTTTCAAAGTTTAGGAGAGCTGATGATTTTTAAATGACATTACTGGAATTACTCAGCATACAAGGATTTAAATGACATTACTGGAACTGCTCAGCATACAAGGATTGAGGCAAGCACAATAGCTTTTCACCCATGGCTCAAAGCAGAAAGAAATATAGGAAATGTTTCATACCAATGTGTTTATAGAATCCATTTGAAACCTGGTGTATATTATCCCTTGTGTCTCTTAATATATGTTTGTCAAAGATTTCTCTCTATTCACTATGGCAGGTTTTGAATGAATAGGATGTAAACTACGGGTAGTAATATGATCTTTGAATAAGTGAAGAACCGCCAGTACAGAAGACAAGGATCTACCTGACATCTTATGATGTCTCTGGTTGACAGTGTCATTACTGCTGCTAATATTTATTACAGAGAATCTTGAAATGTTTGGAGGTATAGTATAACCTTGAGGGCAGAACCCTTTAGGTAAACATGAACCAATTTTCAAAGACTTTTCTTGCATCACCAGACATACATGGAACTCTTGAAGTTCAAAATCTGTGCAGGAGAATTTGTTAGGAGAGAAATAAAAGTTTGAAACATTGCTGGAGGGATCTCAAAGACTCTTGAACATGAGGGGAGCAGATGAGTGAAGAAAATGAGGGTAGTAAGAGTTACAGAGTTCTAAGAATCAGAGCTTATGTGAGGGAGATAACAAAGATCGGTGTTCTACTGCTAATTCTTTGAAAGCTAAGAAGCAAGTGTTTTAATATAACTCTGGAGAAGTATTTTAGTCTTGGAGCTGGCAATCTTCTTTCTGGAACAATCGGTTAGAGATTACTATTTTAAACCAAGTCCAAACTACATGCAGTACAAGCTAATTCCCCTTCCATCTCACCCCATAAAATAATGTGTGGCATGGAAAACAAATATATGATAAAGACCTATAAACATATGAAGTGCATTTGTGTATAGAAGTTTGAAACAAATCCCTTTAGGTATAAACAATTGTAAAGAATTTTTTGTTGATGAAAGTATTCTTAGCATCTAATCCTTTGTGGGGCTTGGGGGGAGGTAGTACAAGATAACTGCAATGATAAAATAGGTCAATGCTATCTCTGAGATATTGGGGGGGAAAGATATTCATTCACTAAAAGTACAATCCACATCAACTGAAATCACCCTTTCATAATATTTGAAGCTTCTATCTAGATTGTCTGTATCTCCTTCAACACCAAACAAAACTACTTTGTTACACGTGGGAAAATAATGTAAATCATCTTCCCCAGCCAGGTACAATTCCAATATTACTAGAGGTATCAGATTATGTAAATATTCTTTTTCAGACAGATGACATGTGAACAATAGATAGGAGTAGTAATTCACATTAATCTTGCATTTTGTATCAAAAGAGGCTAGCGATAGCCAGTTCTGTAAATACTATTGTCAATATCTGTACAGTGCTAACATTTGGGCAATGAAATATATGACAGTACTTCATTTTTAAAGAAATATATTCATCCAATTTGATTTTATGCCATGTATTTAAATAATAAATTTTCTGTTTCAAAATCTGCATAAATTGAGTAATAGAATAAGATTATATGTATATGTTATGACTCTTATAAAATAATGTCATTATGTGTGCAAATGTCATTAATGTCATTAAATGTGTGAAAAAATGTGAGTTTAAGTGTATATGTGAAGTAGTGAAGCATTTCTACGTATATGTTAACAAAATATATTGACGCAGCATGAAATTAAACAATTTGTTTTAAAAATAAAATATAGCTTTATGTATATAATATATATATAACACATACAACGTGTTATACACAGTTTTCTACATCATTGCAAATGTTCTCATTTGTCTCTGTGTGATTGCCACTAGAGTAATTAACTTACAAAAGTATACTCAAGTCAAAATAACAATAGATTTTGGAACAAGCAAGAGTAATAATCATACAGATCATTTGTAGTTAAATAATATGTTATACTTGTTTAGTGTTTCTGCAATTAAATTGTCAAAATGCACACAGGAAGCAAAAAAAGAGTATCTTTGTTCTGATTATAAAGAAAATCTTACCCATTGCTCCTTTTAAAAATGTCTAGCACTGCATTTTCACTGCTGATTTGCGAAAGAAAAAGTTTGTAGGAAGAAAATTCTCTATTCATCTTGAGTGAAAAATGTAAGTTCAATAAATGAGATCAAATTATAAAAACTCATGTATTTATGCATGGAGACTCTTTCTGAAATCATGCTGTTACCACTTCAACAATTAGCAAATTACCTTTCTGTTAATTTATCACTGATGTAATTGATGTCAGTCATATTCCCACCTTCACTGGTCATCTGGCCAGCATTTGAAAACCATTGAAAACAGCATCTGAAAACCCAACCAATTGATGTGTTCCAATCCTTCCTTTTCAGTAGTTGCTTAATTAATTGAATATTTGGATCAAATCTGCCTCTGAAGAAAGAACAAAAAGAAAAGCAAAAAGAAAAGCAAAACAACAAAGGATCAAATAACCATACCAGCTATTAGGAATAGATGAGAACAGCAACAAATAACTTTCTCTGAGCCTCACTTAAGATTTATGAAGAACAATTTGAAGCAATCACACAATTTCAGCAAGTAACTTTGTCTTCAAACATGGACAGACAATTCAAAGATTCTTACTCTACTCTTCGAAGAATTACCAATCTCTCCTGAGAAAACTGTCCAAAATGCCCTTGAAAAATTTGGAAAAAGAAATTACCAATGCAGTCTTATATTTTTCCCTCATTATTTGACATTTGAGATATTGTAGATAAATTTCTCATAGCAGTCAGAAGAAAGATTTTGATGCTAAACATAGATTATTTCTATAGGTAGGTTCATCCAACTCAATGGTGGGATTCAAATAATTTAACAACCGGTTCTCTGCCCTAATGATTTCTTCCAACAACCAGTTCACCAAACTGCTCAGAAAGTTAACAACCGGTTCTCCCGAAGTGGTGCGAACTGGCTGAATCCCACCACTGATCCAACTGCCTTTAATTTGTTTTGCAAGATTGCACGCTGTATTAAATCATAATGTGCATTTCTTCAATGCCAAATCTTCAAAGAATTTACCAAAAACTAAAATTCCCTCATTCCAATAAGATGTAATAGGAATGCTGCCACTAAGTTCTAAACTAATTTAGTTAAAGATACAAACTCAGCCACTAAATAGCAAAAGTAGCTGAGAAAGGTGCTGGCTGGGGAATTCTGGAAATTGACATTCACACATCTTAAAGTGGCCAAGTCTGAAAAACATTAGTCTAGATAATGGTCTGCCTGAGATGTGTGGCTGAAATGAAGCTTGCTAACAGAACACTTCTAAGTGCTAAACTGCTAAGCTGTGAAACACTTAGCGTAAGTTTTGCAGGCTCAGTCAATAGGTTATGACATGTTGTCAGCAGCTATCGATCAAGACACATTCCCAGGTTCCTGAGTAGACTCTGCATCAACCAAATACTCATGTTTCATTTTTCAAGAGTCAGATGCAAATAGAATGGGAAAAATAGTCACTAAATTCCAAAATATCTGGAGGCACCAGGTTCAAGATGTTTATATAGTATGGTACTTCTATGAAAAGTCAGGGAAGGCTACATTTCTTTGGATTTCCCTGCAGGGTGAGCTTCTGAATTGAAGGAAGGTGTATTCTCTCAAAATGAATTCATTCACAATTTGCCTTGACCCTAACCACTTAGAATGGATTTTCCCAGATAGAAACATGTCAAAACGGGGATTCTGGGGCACAACTACCACTTGGTATCCTTTGATATCCTTTGGTGTATCACATTGGATTTGTCCTTCTATAGTTTTGAAAGGTATGGCCACATTTTTGCTCTTTGGGGGAGGATTAGAATTTTAAAAGATAAAAAAGTAGAGAGTTAAAACGTTCCCTCCAATGGGCGGCTGCTGGGATTGATGGGGAGTTAATATTTGCAAGGCTTAAGGCACTCATTTTGCCTCTTAAATTCCAATTTTCAGAAAACCAAAACATGCATCCCTATCCATTACGGGGCTGCAGTGAAGTTTGGGACTGCTGGTGGCTCCTATGGTCCCTGGGTCTCCCCTCTGCTCTACAAACAAGCCATTTTAGTGAAGTGTCTTTCTGATGAGGGGCATCAGAAAATGCATAGCTAGACAGAGCATCAGCCCACCTATCTGCTAGTTCCTTTGCTAATTTATGGTACCAGAAAAGAAAACAATGGAAATGTTAATGACATTGCCTAAGCATGAAAAATTGTGATCTAACTGTTGCATCTACTGAACTTATGGCTTTAAATAAAGGGTGGAATGATTTTGTACTGAAGCAAAATCCAATGTTTTTATTTTTTTTTCCTCTTCCCAATTGTTTCCAGCCAATTTTCTTTTGTTTCTTGAATTCTTTGTTTTCTTTTTTCTTTTCTTTATAGTGGATACTACTTTCTTTAAGCTGAGTGCCTTACAGCTAATTTTTTTTTTCTGCTAAGTACCAGGGGTGAGTTCTACTTGCCTTTACTATTGGTTCGCAGCAGGGCTGCGCACCTGCGCTTGCTTCGCTCATGCGGGCGCACGCTCTTCTGCACATGCACAGAAGTGTTTTGATGACGTCAGGGTCAGTGGGCGGAGCTTCCTGCCAGTTTTATTATCGGTTCTATAGAACCGGTGCGAACCGGGGGGAACCCACCACTGCTAAATACATATATCTTTTTCTTTTGGTATGCAATGATAGAGATGAGAGATAGATGATAGATGATAGATAGATGATAGATAGATAGACAGACAGACAGACAGACAGACAGACAGACAGACAGACAGATAGATAGATAGATAGATAGATAGATAGATAGATGATAGATGATAGATAGGTAGGTAGGTAGGTAGGTAGGTAGATGAGAGATGATAGATAGATGATAGATAGATAGATAGATAGATAGATAGATAGATAGATAGATAGATGATAGATAGATAGATAGATAGATAGATAGATAGATGATAGATAGATAGATAGATAGATAGATAGATAGATAGATAGATAGATAGATGGATGATAGATAGATAGAGATAGATGATAGATAGATAGATAGATAGATAGATAGAGATAGATAGATAGATAGATAAAAAGAGAGACCTCAAAATGTTTGCAGATCTAACTAAATTGTGGTGTTAGCATCTTCAAGTGACTAAGTAGTATTCAAATTTCAAAAAAATGACTACAGTAGAAAAATTAGTGTTTGTAACACCCTGAAAAGCCACAAGGTTGCACTCATGTACCATATCAATTTCATAGCACTTACAAGCAGCAGAAGCTTATATGTGGCTTAGTTCAAATAAATTAGATTCTTTCCTTGAATAACCTGGAAAGGAGATGGAGGAAATGGTGATGTTGGGAAATACATTTTTTTTCTTCTGAAAAGGAATTTGCCTGAGTATTTTTTAAAGGTGGGGATTTATTTTTTTTCTACCATAGATATTATTAGATCGTTCATCCAAAATGGTGACGAATTCAGGCTACACTGAAGTTATGATAAGAAAGAAAGAATTCCATATCTATTAATCATGTATTTTGGGGACTGTAATCCTACAATCTTACATAGGATCAGTTGTGGGTTGCTCCCGGTAATAAAACCGGTGGGAGGCTCCGCCCACTGACCCTGACATCATGAGAAGCGATCTGCGCATGCGCAGAAACTTCTGTGTGTGCGCAGAAGCAAGGCGCGTGCGCGAGTGAAGCAAGTTGCAAACCAGTAGTAGAGGTAAGTAGAACCCAACCCTGCATAGCATCGACACATGATCAATCTTTTAGGAAACCCTAGTTTCAAGAAAGTATTTTTAAGTGACTTTGCTTTAGGTAGATACTGTATTGGCTGCATTTGCACTTAAGAAGAAGTTAAACTTACTGAGTTCATCCTTTTTAGACTTGTATGCTGTGGGTTGCAATCATCACTCAAGATCAGGCCACATGTAACTCGTGCTCAGTTTAAAATATTTTAACATTGCATTTCACATTTAATGTGCAGAACAGCAGAAATGGAAGTCATTAGTAACTTTTCTTCTAGAATATTGTTGAGAGAATATTGGGCCCCAGGAAACAGGCCACTATTGGATACTGTTATATGCAAGGTGATGGATAAAATCCAGGGGTTCTAAATCTAAAATTTGTTACTACCGGTTCTGTGGGCGTGGCTTGGTGGGGGAGGGGGTTTAATGTGACTGGGTGGACATGGCAACTTTTTTTTTTTCTTTTAAAAGTATTTTTCTACAACCTTAAGAGGTTGCAGAAAAAAATGCTTTTAGAAACCTCTGATGATCAGGCAAGTCAGCTGGGATCACCAGAGGCTTTTAAAGGCATTTTTTTTCCTACAACCTCTTCGGCCGAAGGGGTTGCAGAAAAAAATGCTTTGAAAAGCCTCTGATGATCCCAGCTGAGCCACGCAATCATCAGAGGCTTTTTTTTTTCCTTTTAAAAGCATTTTTTCGGCCGAAGAGATTGTAGAAAAAACAGCCTCTGATGATCGCGCGGCTCAGCTGGGCACGGGGGTGGGCAGGGATTTTTGCTACCGGTTCTCCGAACCACCCACCACCATCGCTACCGGATCGGGCGATCTGGTCCGAACCGGGAGCATTTCACCCCTGATAAAATCCAACCCTACATGCTTAAAAATTCAAAATCAAAAATTAAAAAACCAGTTCATTCTGCACTTGCATTCCCTTAATTTTCAATTTGGCCACAAGGGCTAACTTGGCAATTGTATGCAAGTAACACACTTTCTGGATAGCAGCAGGTGCTGCAACTAACACAGTCCTAACAATTCAACTCAACTCTTAGCATTCTGAATAGGGTCTTTAGGTTGGCCAATACAGAACCATTTTTTCCAGCTACCATGCAGGCAGTGGCAAAATTCTGTGTCACTGCAATGTCCATATGAAAAAAACTGGCTACAGAATTATAGATGTCAACTGGTGCCAATTTTTTGGAGACATCTATAACAATTATTGGAAAAATACATTTACCCACATACTTATCGGCTCTCCACTCATGTAAATTAGGGAGTGACCCTAATGGTTTAAGATTATGTGACCATAACGGTTTGAGTTTCATAACAGGGATGTTATTATTCATGATTAATGTCAGTATTATTTTTAATTTATTGTATGTCTATTGATGGTCGATGACTGTAATAAAGTTTTTATTCATATTCAGAACCATTT